TCACTCTATCGTTAATATAGTTTCATGTAACGTTTGATTGCAAATTTTTTTTCTTATTATATATTGTATACTCGTATGTAGCAGGACAATAGCAATAGTTTGCCATCTCTGGATGACTGCAGCTCGGAGAGCAGTTTGAAAGTCGAGGCATCGGCACCGGTATCGGTACCAGTACCGGTATCAGTACCGGCACCGATACTAACACCGGTACCGGCACCGCTATCAGCACCGGTATTAGCATCGGTACCAGCACCATTATCGTTATCGTCACCAGTATCGTCAACTTCGGATAACTCAACAACCTCATCAGCGCCGATATCGATATCGATCTCGGTGTCGGTGTTGGCTTCGGCATCGACAGCAGCAGCAGCAGCAGCAGCGGCAGCAATGACAAGTTCTACTCACAACGTCATTGTGGATTCATTACAGAGTGAGGTGAATTCTACGGCAAAGTATAAGATGGAACAACAAGAGCCTTGTGTTCCGACTACGCAAACTGCATCGTTGTCCAGTGGACTTGCGACAACGATGGAGAATGAGCAGACGGAAGTTGATCTATATGACACATCGAGGACGTTGAGCAAGGGCAGCAAAAAGTGGTTAACTGAATTCGATCCGCCGCCTACGTCTGACATCGCAGTTCATTTACCGGCTGTTTCAGCGTCGTCTTCCGACATTTATGATTTTGAAGATGGTAGAAAGGATGGTGGTAACGAGAAAGCGATCTCACGCACCAGTGCGGCAACGCCAAATTTGTTAGAAAGCAACAAATTGCGATTAAACGTATACCGTAGCAGGACGGAAAGCGCGAATGCGAGTTTGCTAGTGGAGGCGGCTCTAGATGCCGCCGAGAGGGACATAGGGACAGTATCTAGTCCGATCTTGGAGGACAATGATCGCGAGACCAATCTCTACTCTATTTCGAGTCAGCTACAGTCACCGATACCGCAGTCGCGATCGCCGAATCATCTAGACTCGTACATCGTACAGCAGGAAGAGCAACTAATGTCGCCCGCGCCAACTCCGGACGACCGGCACACTCCTCCTAGCCACTTACACGTAGATTATCATTTGCATCGACCGGTCGACTACATCAACACTTCGCGAACGCACAATATCGAGCAGTATCTGCATCACGAGGAGATGCCACGCGTCTCCTCACCGAATTACATACATATGCAGCAAGAAGACTTGGTGTCGCCGTCAGCTACGCCGAATCACCGCTACCAGGACATGCATCATCATCAGGTGCCAACGGATAATCTCTCGAGCGACGAGGGTGACTCGGTAGCGCAAAATCTTAGCTTGTCTGTGAAGGAAAAGGCATTGCAGCTAGATCTCTCGACGTCGTACAAGTACGACACGCTTGAACAAGATTTCACCCGGGAGAGATCCAATTTTGAGCCATTGGTGCTTAACAGTGGTGAACTTCAGGGTTTAGACATGTCGGCTCGGGGTTTTCACCACAGTTTTGGCGCCCAGATGCAAAATACCCGCTATCATCATCATCACTTGTACGACATCAGCGAACGACAAAGCGTGGACCTCAGTAGAACGGGCAGTTACTCTATGTCGCCACCTCCACCACCACCACCTTATCCGCATAACGAGGTCGTGCGAGTGGTCAGCTTGGATCTTACTCCTGGTGGCAGGCACAGTGTCGATCTAAGTCTTTCCAGATCGCATCATCTGCACGGATCTGGTACTCGTGTCATTACTAGTTCACAACCCGTTGGCTCGGCTACGACACACGTAGTACCTGACGTCGGCGAAGGTCGAATGCTATCTCCACCTCCACCTCCTTTATCAGGATACAATCCTAGTTATCCCGTGAGTCCGGCCCCGTATCATCCTCCGAGATCCGGATATCATCATTATCCCGGTTATTATTGATTGTCACTGACAAATTGTCAGATTGTCGTGGCGGTTTCAACATAGTCAACATCTTCTCAGCAACTTTTATTGTGTTACGTGTCTTTGGCTCCTTTTATAATTATTTTTACTCCAAATGATTTTATTTTCTGATTGCTCTAATTATTTAACTGTACACGGTTTTTACATCGCGACACGCTCGCATCGCAGGCGGGAACTGCCATTTTCATAGTTGATACATTACAAAGAGTAACACACGCAGAGTTATGTCTCAATTTCGCGATCAATTTAATATTTAAATCGGTGATGATGAACATTTTGACATACACGCGCGCGATTAAAAAAGTTAGCAAAAGAAAAAACTTTTCGACTCAAGGAAATAATAATAAAAAAAAATTCACTAATATCATATGACAGAGACAGTCGTAATATTGTCATTTAACGCGACAAAAGTGTACTCGCGGTAGTCTTGGTACATCCAGGACACAAACAGAACAGATATTATTTTTTTAAAAAAAAGTCAAGTAGCACGAGATTTTACGAAGAAAAATCTATTCCAGCATGACCGAGTATCGATAGAGGGAAGTTCGTTTATCCGTAATTATATAGCTGTTAAATTATTTATCGTTTACCCTTCTCCGATAAGCTGTGTATGCAGAACATGTATGTGTGACGAGTATATCGTTTGTAGAGTATAATCGTTGAAGAAAGAGGGAAGAAGAAAGAAAACAAAATTACGTCGTGATCCAATGCCACGTCCGTGATAATTAAGATTTTAAAAAGTTGTTACCTCTCTTAGCTTATATTCTTCTATTTCGGACCTATACTCCATCAAGAAATACTCCATTTAACGTGGCTTTGATGATAACAAAAGCATCCCGGAGCAGCATAATTTTTGCAAAAATTATGCAATTTTAGAGATTAAAAAATTAAATTAGAATTTGTTCACACACACACACACACAAGAAAAGATTTCACAGACGTCTGAACAGATGCGCGAACAATACAATTGTTTCGAAATTTATATCGTTTCTACAAATTGTTAAATATACTCTGCATATTATCTGGAATGCTCTGATATTTATGAAATATGTGAAATTATCAAGATGCCTAATACGGTAGCTAGATAAGTGTATCTCTGTATGGTGATAACAGATTGTAACGTTTGTTTTTATTCTAGTCATTACATATGCATTAGCCATGGCGGATTAGCTATAAGTTTTAACAAATATTCCCACAATCGCGAATAATTTGTTCAAATACATGTATTTATCGTAAATGCAAATTCAAATTTGTTTGAATTTTGTTTAAAATCTTATGCTTTCTCGTCGAAACTAGCGAGAAAAATTAATGACATACACACACACACATACACACACACACACACACACGTACACGTACACGTGAAACAAACGTATTCCATTATAAAAGTAAAACGTAACGTAACATGTTTTATTTTATAGGTACTCGATTCAATAATATTACGTTTCTTTGTCGTAACTTGAGCGATATTATTTACGCTTAGAAATACATGCGTAGCAATTACGTAAGTCTCAGAATCTCAAAAGAGACAGAAAGTTTGTGCGTGTGTAAGTTGTGTGCGTGCGTGCGTGTATGTATGTATGTATGTATGTGATGTGTACACGCACACGCATACATATATATCGACGTGTTTCACGCGAATGTGCGCATGAAGATTTATAAGCTCGCGTGTAGCACATTAATTTTCGTGTCGCTTCCAGATTTCTGGATTTTACTCTCTCTAGCCATTTATCGAAACCAAAGATCTAAAAATATTGTAACTCTTGTGCCAAATCGAAAGGCGATCATTGTTATATTGTATACACACAACTTTTAGCAAAACGTAGCCATTAAAGAGAGAAGGGGGGCGGGGAGGGAGGGAGGGAGGGCAACGCGCGTAATGTTGTCTCTATCACTTTTGCCATACATACTTGATTATTCAACAACTACGCTTCACTCGTACACTCGCGCGGATAATTTTACATGATGACTCTAAGAATGTTTTATTAAACTTTTTTTTATGTAGGTTTCTCACAATTTTTCTGCCATTGAGAATAGTTACCATTTCACATTTACTTTAATCGTCGATTTTTACTTAAATACAGTTTTC